AGAGAGAGAGAGAGAGAGAGAGAGGAGAGAGAGAGAGAGAGAGAGAAGAGAGAGAGAGAGAGAGAGAGAGATAGTAACTTAAGACAGTATCCCTGAATAAGACATTTTATACAAAGGAGAGATTACTTTCTCATATCTTAAATATTACGCTTAATATCAAACAATACAATACCACTGATAAGGTGACATTGCAAATCGATTAATTATTGGAATAATTTAACAAATGTGATCTTATAGTGTAATATTTGTTTAAAATCGGTTCGTTCATCATCTTTTAAGTGGATCGTGTTATCCTGTGTATCTTGTTTTTAAAATGGATTCATGTATACTTTTACATCAGATTATTTTGATAACACTGTGTATGTAATTTTGGTAAGGATCATGCATATAAAATGTTCCCTGCCATCGCCTGTGTACAGTATGGCGATGGCTCTTTGTTCATCATAAATAAATATCTTAAAACTAAATCATTATCACTATTTACAATCATTATCACTATTTAGTCTACTGTTCTTTGAGATCATTTGGCATAGTGGCGGAAGGCGAATTTCAAACTGGTCAAAATTGCGTATCAAAGAGTGACCGTCCATCACAGATAGAAAATATCGCCCTCAAAATAACATTAATATAAGCACCGTTCACTTTGGACTACTGGGAGTTCACACTTTGCTGGGATTGAAAAAGAGTTTTCTAGGCCTAGCACAAAACTCGCGGGCAAAATGTTCGTCAGACACGCTGGCAGTCGAGGCTCCTTCATGCAGGTACGTGTCAGCTTTGCTAATCAGGCGCTCCAGGTGATGGTCCTGAGCATGTTCTTCGACTGCCTTCCTCCAGGCGGACAGGCCTGCGGTTGGGTGAAGACCACTTTCGGACACTTCAGTTGTCAGGCGAACGATAAAGGTGTCCCTCAGGTCTTTCCCCGGGCTGTTGCTCGGATCTTCCCACTTTTCTGTCTCCGTCATGTGGAGGAAGAATAACTTGGGCTTTCCCTTCAGAGCTGGGCAAGACTCGTCCGTGAAGTGGGAAAAGACGTCCGACAGGTGAAGAAGCTCTCCGTCGGTGCAGTGGAAGGTGTCACAGTCTTTGCCAAGCCCTTGGATGTGAACGACTACAGAATCGAGGTCTGCATGTTCTTGTCTTTTTGAAAATTCTTCCAGACGGGTTTTGACTTCGGCGATGCTTGGATTACTACATATTTCCGTCTTGTAACCCAGACCACAGTAGAGATCGGACATCATCTTCGCAACGGACTGACGCCATGGACAGTTCGGCAGCTCTTCGCTCTCATATTTCTCAAAGGAGAGGACGAGGGCCAAACCATGCGGTCTCGACCAGTTCCTGTAATCAGAATGGGTGTTCTTGGGCTGTTTCACCTGCCTCACATTGACCTTCTTGGAGAAACAGCTTTTTGGAATCGTCAGCTCACGGGGTTTAGAAGGAGTGTCTGGTGACGACACAAATTTCGGGGGATTGAAGTAGTAATCGCGCTGGAATTTGTAGGTCCTTAACTCGTGATAATATTGCTCTTCGCCTCCATTGCCGTCCTGTAAGTCGTCTAGCCTCCGCAGAATCATTTTAGTGAGGGCCATGAGTTCCTTGTCCTTTGCGTTCGTGATAAGGACTTGGTATAAGGCTTCTGTTAACAGTGAACCTTGCTTGCACTCTCCGTCCACTTCTACGCTTAGCAGAAAGATGTCGCGCTCAGCAGGAAGCACTGTGCCTTCTGTCGCGTCTAGGTCAGTGCCGCCGTCAGTACACAGTCCAGCTTGCTCTGCCACTTCGCTTCGGTAACAGAATTCAGCAGCTTGTCCCGTTCGAGCGGCCTCTACCTCTTCTGTCGTAATGCCACCCACAAAACACGTATTCGTGAAGAACAACTTCGGCTTTCCGGCTAAATTCGGGCAATTCAAATCATTAAAGGTCCTTGTGAGTTCCAGGAAAGTTGTTACCTTGCCATCCCCAGACACTATACAGTCCTCGAAGCCTCTCCCGTAGATTATAACAACAGCTGAGTCGTATTGTGGCATTTCAGAAAAAGTGCTGAAGGCTTCCTCCATTTCCGGCTTCGTCAGGTTCTCACGGGGCGGCAGGACGTTGAATCCAAGCAGAGTGAAGATTTCCTGCAGTTTCTTCACGTCCTCTTGGCATCCTTCGAGGTTGTTGATGATGAGGACAAGGCCCTTCGGTGAGCCAGTGGTCTTGTAAGTGTTCTCATGTGTGTCCACTGCATCACTGCATGCCACTGCTGATGCATTTTCTTGCGGAGAACTTGGGTTAAAATAAAAATCGTACTTGAATCCCTGGCGTCGTATTTCCACCGGTTGTGCGTCTGGCATTTCCCTGTCCACTTGCTTCATAAGGGCGTCGATCTCCTTCCGATGTGCTTCTGCCATGAAGACTCTGCAGATCCTGTCGATATAAGGAGACCCGCGGCCCTTATACCTATAGGACACAAAGCCCGGCAGCGTTGAAAAACAGATATAAACGTCTGACAACTTCC